TCTAAACCTAACCGACAGTGGGAGCAAATTCAAACATGAGAAAAAAGCACTTTCTGAAGCCGCCGTGCCATTAACTTATTTCTACAAGAGCTTTTCATTGCAAAGTGCAATGGTGTACCAGGTGAGCTACTGAGCAAGTTTGCTATACGTCAGAAAAGCCATATGTAGTAAACGTCAAATCATGCACTGCATGTGTCAAAGGTGTTTTGAGGTCATCATAATGGTGTTTTAGTGCTGAAGATGTTCAGAAAATGCAGTTAATTATAGGACCATTTTTGTGTTTTGCTAAAGGGTAGGCACATACTTCCAATGAGCATTGGTTATATTTAGAGCAGCTAAATCCAAAGAGAGCAGCACAATATAACACTTTCAACACTTAACCAACCACCATATATGAACTCTGCAAATACAAGGGCAATGACAGCATGACATGACAAAATAAATGGATCATGCGTTACGTTAAACTTTTCTTAACATCATTATACCGGTAAAACAGTCTTCACAAGACAACTCCATTCGGTGGCAGCATTTATCCATTTAGTCCAGCTCTCTGTTACTGGAGTCTACTATAACACATTAAGTCCACGTTTCTCAGATTGACTCCATTCAGGTGTAATATACTAATGTGTAGATAAAGTGTCTGAGAAAATCTTCATGCTAATGTATGAGGTGTGCCAAGGACCAATCTCTCATGCCAAAGTGTTCAGATTACCTCCTGATGGAGAGATGAGTTTCAGGTGGTTTTGACCGTGTTATTTTTGTAGTGCCAGTGGGATGTGTATAGCGGGAGGAGAAACAAGAGGTTATGTAAATGCAGACGCTTGTCATCCTCCACACACCTGTTATTCCTGGATGATTCACACGGACTCAGCCGGCTGGTCCTTTCCCAGCTCACACACTTTACCACTCTTCCAGCCCCTTACACCGTGTTCAAGTTCCTGGTTGGTTTTGATCCATTTAGCTGTAAATAACTAAAGTTTAGCTGGTTAGAATAGCCCCATGTGCCCCCTGCTGGTAGATGTGGTAACTACACTATCTGGCAACAAAAAGCATCTTTCACCATTCATGGCCAATCAAAAGGATTTTTTTTGCAAGGAACATCTATACTGCTCTTTCATCATAATACGGGTAGATGTTTTACCAGCTTTTTTGAGACCTGTGTCAGTCAGAACACAAAGATGCCGGATGGTGTAGTTGTGGCATCTACCAGTAGGGGTGAATGCAGTCATAGACAAACCAACCAAGCTATGACACTTTGGAGAACACAGCATAGGCATGTGACTGCCAGTCAATGGAGTGAGGAAGAAAACCTTTATAGGCTCCTCCAGACATTAGTGGCCCCTCATTTTAGATGTCCCTCAATTTTACACACTGTACCACCATCTAGTACTGAAAAACACTCTGAAGATCTACTTTGAGAAGTACATTGACATTTGTACACATTTATAGTATCAATTGAACCAGAAATCGTAAATTCTTTAATCAGCACTACCAAATTACACAATTTTTCCTGGAGAGAGGAAGAAAAATAAATCCAGCCTGGAGCCTCAGTAACAGACTGACAAATGCAGCACTTCCACCTACTGGTCAAGTAGAATTAATTCATTACAAAACCTCTGTAGAGAACCCCAACATCATTTTAAGTGGATGAATGCACCAGTTCCGCTTAAATTCCCTTATTCAGAATTGTGTATTTAAGATTTTTGAAAAAGTCAAATAAGCCTTACAGATCTTATTACTATGCTTAAACCTGCAAGAATCATTTGTCAATGCTGAAAACCGTTGTGCTGCTTATAAATATTATGCAGCCAAAGTTTTCAAATTTGATAGTGACTGACAAACTACACTAAAATTACTCCTTTTAAGTAAACAATTTAAAACTTATTTGGGGGAAGAAAAAAAAAAAAAGTGCACGCAGACCTTTTAAAGAAACCTAGTCACACAGCATGAGTAATGCTTAAACACCTTTATTGTGCCCATTCAAAAATTCAAACTTCACCTTTATAAGCAAACTTGGCAGACAACAATGAGGTAGAATGACAGGAGCTTGATAAATAGCTCTGCATGGAATGCATATGGTGATGAGAGAGAAGACAATCTTGGTTCTGAAAGTAAAGTTATCCATTCAGCAGAAAATGAGTAAAGTGACATTTGCATCTAGTCTGCTAAGGCTCTTGGTAAATTCAAGGGAAGTCTATGGTTTTAAATTCAACAAGCAGCCATTTGGGCACTCACCCACAACACCTGCTGATGTACTATTTAAGTGATTAAAAACCTACCCCTTTACAAAGTGTAAATTAAAAAGTGCAATAAAACTACGTGCAGTCGATGGCCATTCTCATTTCAGGATTAATATATTAAGTTGGTTTTGAAATCTGATCGAGAGCAGTAAAAGCAACGCCTAGTGGAGGCACGCACTGAAATTGATCTGGATGGGCAAATAGATCTGCAGGGTTACGTGCAAGCCTCTTGTTCTACCAAACAGAACACTGATAAAGGCAAAAATACTCATAGGGAAAAGAAAGAAAAAAAAGCGCAAAATTAAAAATCCACCAGGTAGATTGCTACTCAACCTTTTCCATGCCATACCTTAAAACGGTTTCATGTAAAAATGTATGTAAACTAAAACGGTGAAATATGTCATGATGAGCATCTGGCTTTTGTAGCATCTCAAAAAAAAAAAAAAAATTGGCAAAAAAGTGCCAGAAAAAAGCAGCTAGTGTGGAAAGGGAAAACCAATTAAAGGCACTGTATGGCTTCCTTCTGTTAAACAATGATACTTTAGAATGATTTACCAAAGCAAAATAGCAACCTATATAAAATGGGGGGGGACAAAAAAAAAAAAAAAAAAAAAAAAAAAAAAAAAAAAAAAAAAACCTTCAGCCCATGGCCTGAATCTCAACTTAGTTCAAAACTCTGGGTCTTCCCATCCATGGGCCCCAGCTAACCCATCTCACTGTGTACAGTGCCAAAGTGAACAAGCCAAACTAAAAAGAAAGTGACACAGTGAACTTTCTACAGTGATTCCCCATGCCCCAACTCCTGGGAGGGCCTTTTGAAGGGGGGGCCAACTCTGGAGCAACTCCCCAAGGGGAGCAAGCGCAATGGACATCCAGGGTGAGGCATCGTGCTGCCACGTGTGGCTTCAGATGACATCCCGCTTCTTCTGGTTTCGCATCAGAGGCCGGTGGTTGCTGAGGATGTCCATGGAGTGCTGCCTATGCCAGCAGGAGCGACAGTAGTATTTGAAGCAGGTCTGGGGAAGGGGGAGGAAGAGAGATGTTAGTTACGCAGCATGCATTACTGTATTTACGCACAGAGACTAGGCATGGGCCGATTACCGGTTTCAAGGTACCGGTTTTATTTGGAGAGCAACACGACCCTCCTCCTGTTGGTGCGAGCGAGCAGTAAGTCACGTGTGTGTGTGTGTGTGTAGAAGCTGCCCCTGGAACTTATGAGATCGGCCATTTTTTTGTCTTATTGCAAGCAACTCGTCTCTGTCCTGGACTTGCACAAACTGCATTGCAATGCGATCATTTTCCAAAAATGTCATTTATGTGAAAATATGAAGTCTGTAAACACCCGTTAACCCGAAAAAATAAATAAAATACTGTAGCAGACAGAGCACTCCCTGTTCTTGATGCACAAACTATTGGAAGAAAATCCTCAATATTGATTTGTGGGGTTATGAATGCGTTTCAGAGGGGAACCGACTGTCTTAATAAAAAGTTTACGTGGTACTTTTTAAATCTCATCTCTGTATAGTTCATATTAAAGCAGTGTGCTTTGTTTATGGCGGTAACCAAGGAAACACTATCTGGTGTTTCATGAGTGCCTCCTGCTGTCAGAGTGAATATGCATCTCATTCAGAGCATCAGCTGTTTGATTCGTTCAGGCATGTATAGGGCTGTGCGATTAATCGAAATTGCCATAAAATCGCGATCTGAGCATGCACGATTTCGAAATCGCTTTATAGCACGATTTTCCGCTCCCCCGACCTCCCGCGGTATGCTATCTGAACCAATCAGAATGCAGCGCGCCTAAATGGAGCATGAGAACAGAACGGACCGGGCGGGCACTCAAACGTAACGCCAGGTTCACACGCACCATCTGTGGTGCGTATTTTGTCCGAGCCCATGTTAACGGATCAGAGCGTTCACACTGCATGCGATTGCGGTCCGGCAGTGCGCTCCAGGAGCGGTGCGTCTGCAGCAGTCATGCTGCGATCGTTTCAGCACGGAGTCCATTTCTGCTGTGCTGCACGTGCTGAATTAAAGTGACAGCGCATTATTCGCGGTAAAAATGAACATGGATTGACAGAAATTACACCATAAATGCATATTAAAGTCTACGGTTTCACAGTGAACACATGGCTTTTTGGCTAGATTTAACACAAGTGCACTTTTAGATAAACAAGGCAATAATAGATGGCACTCATGGTGGTAGTTAAACAGTTATATTGGAGTTTAAACGTGAATATGTCTATGAAAGACTGTATTACTGTACAGTGATAAAAATCACAATGCTAAAAAGCATTTTCAGAAACAACGTTTGGATTCGAAATCAAAATAATGGATAAATTGTTGTGTTTGTGGTAAACAGCCACGGATCAGGAGCGGAGTGCAAACGCGTCCTGTGCGAAAGCAAAATGAGTCCGTGCTGCTTCTGCGCCACATACACACTCTATACGCACTGCAGACGGAGTACGTGTGAACTTGGCGCAACAAATCTAGTTCAGCATCTGAGGCAATGCCACAAAGAGCTCTATGACCAATGCATGGCATGTCGTATAATTTCACAAAGCTAGTCAGAACAGAACATTCGGTTTTTGCGGCAAATTGGGTTATCAATTCAAATTACGTATATGAAATTATACAACTAAAATTAAACTACGGATTAAGGTTAAATAAAAATGTCAGTTTGTTTCTTTTTAGGAAACAAAAAGACAAACCAATTCTACTGTTCCTAATATTCTGTATGTTGCTCAAAAACCAAATGTATTGTGTTCAGCAGAAAAAAAAACAAAATAA